ATTTTGATGAAGGCTCCATCTCAATTGTAGTTTTTCAGAAAAGTACAGAACACCTTGAAAATATTTTAATTAATATCTTAGGAAAAAACAAATATATGTATTCACATATATGCATACACCTTTATGCACATATACACTTTCCAACAAATTACTGAGGAAGAATATTGAGAGATCATCATTGCAATTATAACAATACAGTTCTAAAACTTGGGTTCCCCTTAGTGTGAACCAATGGAGCACGTACATTATCCTATTTAAGTCTCAGAAGGTACTAGAAATTAACAGGAATATCACTAATTATAATCAAAATGAAATATACACCTTGTAATGGATATTGTCCTGTACAAATCAAGAAATTAAATAAAATGATAAATAATTTTTGATGCTTCACCAGAGCTATAACAGCAAGTTCACAGCAGACCAACTTTCAGAATCTAAGGATATGTCTAAGAATACAAAGAAGTCCAAGCTAACATGAAAATGTAAAAGAAAACATAGAGGCTAGAGCAAGTAGTCATGGTTAAAAATAATTTTATCATCAATTTTGATGACATTAATTACCTGGCAGAAACACTTTAGCCAGGTGACCAAGGTTAACTTCATCAGTCCTAAGAAAAATCGACAGCAAGTACTCCCTGACAAGTTATGACATACTAAGAACACATCCCTTTTGTGATGTATCTCACAAAGGTGCATAGCCTTAATCTACTCATGAGAAAATATCAGACAAACCCAATTTGAAGATATTCTGAAAGAACTGACTAGTGTTCCTGTAAAGTATCAACGGAGTGAAAACAAAGCCTGAACTCACACACTGGAAATCAGTAAGGAGATATGATAACCAAAAGCAAAATGAGATCTCCTAAAGACTAATGGAAAAGATGATGAAATTCAAAGAGTAAGAAATTTAATAGTGAGAAACTAATGTGACTCCATTTTTGAGAAACCAGCCTCTACCTCAGAGCAAAGCCTGTCCAAGGAAGGGGGCGTGATCCTTGTCCTTGGAAAAACCCACAGAACACTCCTAGGCACATACCCACCCTGCTGAGTTGTTTGTCTGTAAATAACAGGAGAGGTCTGTGGTGCCAGGTGTCCCTGACTCATTAAGCTAAGTGAGGACCCATAGGCAACCCCCCTAGCAACCTCCAATCAGCATGAGACAGGGAAAATACCTGGAATGCCAGATGACCCCCAAGTAGTTTATGGTGGTTGATAACATGTTGGGAAACCAGGTAGTTTAGCAGGTACAACCCTCATGGCCTAAACCAATCAGTTAAAAGGAATCCCCCTATTGTACTAACCAATCACCCCTACCCAATTTGTTCCCACCATTGAATGTGCTAATCAATGTTAAGAATTGTTGTTTGATTTTCCCGCAGTATGGAATGATTTGCTGTGTGATGTTGTGACGCATAGAGTAGTCCCCCAAAACCTATAAAATCTCACTGAACAAAGGACCAGGACTCACTCCCTGGGACCGCTGCATCGGGAACAGTTGTGAGTCCAGGCTCCAGCTTTGGATAAAGACTTTTGTGTGATTGCATCGGATTCAGCTCCTGGAGGTCTATCGGGGTCCCACGAATCCGGCATAACAATGGAAAAGTGATTAGAAAAATATTTGGCATAAATTGAACTTTAAAATTGAGATTATGAAATATAAAAAATGGACTGAGTATTTACATTTGGTAGACTTGGAATTTTGACCATACTATATTACCCACCAAAACACTTATCATTTGCTTTCTTTACCAGGGTTATACTGATCTCATATAATGAGTTAGAAAACAGTCTTTCCTTTCTGTTCTCTGGAAGACTTTGCATAAAACTAGAATTTTCTGGTCCATGAATTTTCCGTTCTTTGAAAAATGAGCTATTTGTGTGTGAAGGGTAGATGATTTTAAAATCATCCTTTATTTCTTCATTAGTAGGGCTTGGTATAGTTTAAATTATTTGTATTCATTTTTCAACATATCAATGTTTCTAATATTTTCTAATTTTCCAATCTTTTACAGTTGTAGTCTTTTTCTGTTAAATTTTTAATAATAGGTTTTTCTTTTTCTTCCTTTTCCATAAGGAAAAGGAAGAAAAAGAAAATAAATATAAAAAGGAATATAAAACATTGTTTTTATTAAAATATAAGAAACAATGTTTTATATTTTTAATCTCTTCCTTTTATATGTATCAACGTTATTAGTTTCTATATTTTTTTTACTATCTCCTATTTCTTTAGCTTTGTGTTTATGTCATTTTCCTATGTTTCATGCTTAAACTATTAATTTAATTTCATCTTGTCTTTATTTTTTTATAAGTATACAAATTGATAAATTATCTTCTTTTGGTAGTATTTTCTGTGCACCACATTTTACTTCATTACTTTTTCAATTATAGGATTTTCCTCTCAACTTGTTTTTTCTTCTTAATTTGAACATTCATAAGTTAATTTTGATATTTTTCTTTCAAGTTTTTTTCAAGAATATAAAGATTTTAATTTATCATTTTGTGCTAATGTCTAGTGTGTGGCATAGTCAAAGAGTTTAATAAATACTGTTTTAAAAAATTTACTCAAACTTGGCTAATAAACTAGTCCTTGATCATATTGCAATAAGTGCATATCTGCTTAAAAATAATATGTAATCTCAAAATGGGTGTCATTCAGTTTTATGTACATATAAGTCAAATCATTCATATTATTTATATTTGTTTTCTAAACATATCATATATTTGTAATTTGGGGTATGGTTAACTGATACTTAGTTGAGAACACATTAGCTTGGCTGCATTTCTTAGGTACTGTAGATTTGAAAATAGATAATAAAAATACTAAGGTTTTTTAGCAGAGATCAGATTCTAGGCTTTCAAAAACAAATGAAGTTAAATAGTTGACCTTCATAATGAGTTCTTTATGTATTGTAGTGATCATTTTTGTATTCTTTCTGTATTGTGACCATTTTTGCATTTCAGAAAGGACATTTTCTGTATTTTAATAAATTGATTTGTTGATGTACTGATTGTATGACATTTAATTTTTTAAAGAAAGTTCTTGAAGTAAGAAGGCTAGAGTTCTAGTTCTGCACTAGAAGATAGATGATACAGGCATATATCAAACAAACAATAAGCAGTTCTACAGATTTAAATGGGTAATTTTTTTATGAGGAGGGAAAATGCATTAAACTGAAGTAAGAAAAACATGTCCGAAAACCTCAAGGAGACAGATGTTACTGGTAAGTATAAATTAAGGGAGAGAATGAAAGAGAAAAATTAGGGAAAGTCAGCCTATGGATCTTTTGTACCTTAAGTAAAATGGGAGCAATCATCATATAGTGCTTACAATATTCAGAGGGAAAACATTGGTGAAAAAACACAACCAGCCTGTTTTATGTCCTTGTGGCATACATAAGTACATATGTAGATAGTATAGTGCCCGGCAATGGAAAGAGGTAAGAAGCACGACTGGGATTACTGCTTCTGACCAGTCTATTTGCAATTAGGTTACTAGTGGAATGTTTCTGAGAAGGTCATAGTTGGACAAGTACTTGAAGGACATGATCAAGGGAACCATCCAAATACCCAGGGCTCAGGTGTTCCAAAGTGAAGTGATGAAAAAGGTCTGGAGAGGCAGTAGGATAGTAGTCAAGAAATGAGTTTACTGACTTTCCATAGTGTGATACCAGAGACAGACAAGAAAAAAGTAAGAAAATACCCTCTGAGACCGACTGGTATGTGATGAAAACTGAGTTTTCACAATGTTCTCCTAGAAAATTACTTTTAAAACTGAGTGAATGTATATGCCTGTATTAGGTGGTTACATCTGCCACAGAAATTCCATAGACTGGGTGGCCTAAAGAAAAGGAAATTTATCATCTCACAGCTCTAGAGGCTAGATTTCTAAAATCATGCTGTCAGCAGGTTTATTTCTTCTGAGCCGCGCCCTGCCCCCGACCCCTTGGCATAACACCATTCCTGAAGCACTTAGCCCATGAAAGTGCTATTTTCTTCTGACAAACTGCATTTTAAATATATTTGGGTAATGGGGAGAGGATTTTACTTGAGGGAAATAGCATGAGAAAAATACCTAGAATGATGTTGGAAAGAAAGTAGGGGTCAGAAAAAAACTAAAGGCTCTAGTTGGATGCAAATCTTTCATGAAAGTGAACAAAAGCCAAATATGTTAGGAAAGATATACGCAGGCAATAACATGGCTAGACAAGAGGTCTGAACTTTATTATGTATATTAAGGAGAATTACTTAAGGTTTATGAGCAAGAAGGCGCAATAATCAGAACTGTGCTTCCAGTCGATTAACCCGTCAGAAAAATGTAGTTTATGACCAGGTGCTAAACATAAATCTTATTAGCAGTAGAGGTTGTTCAAGCTGGAAGCACATCCAGGTATACCAAGGGCTTAGATAAATTCTTGTTTTGCTCTGGAAGGAAGGAGAGTTTGTCAGATTTTAGTGTTTTTTTTTTTTTCTCTGACTCTGAGAAGGGCATCTTGATATTTCTGCCATAGACTTTCCTTTGTTTTTTGTTGTCACAAATGGAAATAAGATTCCTACCTGTTACAGCTGATTTCACTGGAATTTTGGACCATTCTGTCTTGTAGCTAAAGGAAGAGAAGAAAATCACCAAATACAACATAGCAAAATTAATTAAATAAAAATAGTCACTGGTATATTCTGTGATTTATTGTGATTGTATAAACACACATAGATATATAACTGCACTCAAAGCAAATGAAAAAAAAGACAACATGCTTATTTTCAAAACCAGAACTCCTGATACTATTAGAGGTTGGTTCTCAGTATTCATTTTAACACACACACAAGTCAAAGCCCTCATGCTCCTAGACTTTAATAGAATGTTAACCATAATTGGTATACTCAAAGAATGAATCAATCAACATCTAATGTAGAGTTTAAGATTTACAGGATTCTCATATACATTTTACTTCTGAAAATTCTGTTCAGAAATCTCTCTATTCATCTCTTCTTATTCTCTGCAGACACCATTCATCTTCGGGTTCTTGAATCTTCCCCAGTCGGCACAGCTGTTGGAAGTGTGAAAGCAACCGATGCTGACACTGGGAAAAATGCTGAAGTAGAATACCGAATTATTGATGGTGATGGGACTGATATGTTTGACATTATAACTGAGAAGGACACCCAGGAAGGCATCATAACCGTGAAAAAGGTGCTCTACGTCAGCAGAAATAAGCATTGTGTGTTTAGAGAGTTGAGGTTTCATTATGTACTTTTCACTCATGCATTATCCATTAAAAGATATATTACTGCCATGCTTGAATGTAATTCATAGTTTACTTAAGTAAGAAGGATATAAAGCCAAAAGCTTCTTAGATATGTACACTGTGTTTTTATTGATTGAAACATGAGTCTTGAGATTTTACAAAATTTAAGAAGTTAATGTATGTGTGATTATATTTTCAAGTCATATTAATAAAAGGCCACGATAATAACATTATTTTCTTAAGAAAATGTTTAATAGCTAATAAGAGCAATATATCATTATAGTTGGAAGCATAAAATGTAGTACACCATCCAGATTCATGAAGCAATAACTAGAGATGCTAATAAAAACAGAATGGATTGGAATATAATTCAATTGTTCACATTTCCCCTTATGCTATGTAAATTAAACTTTTCTGCTAACATATGTTCAGTGATACAATTTAAAGGTAACCAGTTACGTTATTGTAGGATCAGTGCCATCTTGTGAGAAAATGTAGGGAAAATTAAAAAAAAAATTATAATGAAATGCCAAGCATCAAGTAACCACTGAGGCACTGGTTAATAAGAAAACTATCCTGAAAGTGCATAGCAAGGCAGGAGGTACACAACCTTCATTAAACAGTGACCAGAAAAGGGCAAAGCAACTTCCTTATTTTTCATGACCAGAATGTAGCACTCATGCAAACAGAATCTTGTGCATCTAAAAATGAAAAAGAAAATGGAGGAAGTCTGATTCAGCAATGTCTTCTCTGTTAATAAAACTTATCTTTCAGAGTGAATGTGAGGTGAGAGACATAGTTCTTTATTTGTGACAGTTAAACTATATTGATATTTAAAGCCCCATTTTTTGTTTATTAATGCATCCTCATGCCAACTTGCTATTAAATCTGTGCTCTCTTTTTTTATGTGTTATTTTTACTTATACATGACAGTAGAATGTATTTTGACGTGTTATATATACATGAAGTATAACTTCTCATTCTTGTGGTTGTACAGGATATTGTCCTTTCTTATTCCTGAGATTTTCTTTATTTTGACTCTTTCAAGCAAGTATGGAAATTTATCACCAAGATTTTATAAATTTAAAATTTAAAAAATTTTTTGGTACTGGGGATTGAACTCAAGGGTACTCAGCCACTGAGCCACAACCCTAGCACTCCACTAACTGAGCTATATCCACAGCCTCTCCTAGCCTTATTTGGTATTTTATTTAGAGATAAGGTATCACTGAGTTGCTTAGCACCTCACTTTTGCTGAGGCTGACTTTGAACTCACAGTCCTCCTGCCTCAGCCTCCTAAGCTTCTGGGATTAGAGGTGTATGCCACCACACCCAGCTTCACTTTTTTTGCTTAGAAAAATTTACTAGTACCCAATACCTCAACACACACATGTATGCATGCCAACATATACATAATCTGCCAGTCCATTTTTTTTTTTTTTGTAGGGAATCACTACCTATGAGATAGGTTTGAACATCTAGCCCAATTTTTTGCAAGGTTTAAAATCTCATTTTCTTAAGTTCCAAAGTGTTACATTTTGAATATATAAAAAGTAAAAATTGAATCCTAAACAATATTTAAGGATTATATAATTATCTGTGCTACTTTCTAAATTTATTAATAAGCAAATCAAATGCATTCAACCTGGATTTTAAAGATCATTCTGTAACTTGAAATGAGCATGTCATACAATTCCCCTCACTTTAATTGAATGACATGTGTCTTTTTACAGCCACTTGACTATGAGAGCCGGAGACTTTACACTCTGAAGGTTGAAGCAGAAAATACCCATGTGGACCCACGATTTTATTATCTAGGACCATTCAAAGATACCACAATTGTGAAAATCTCTATAGAAGATGTAGATGAACCTCCTGTTTTCAGCAGGTCCTCCTACCTCTTTGAGGTTCATGAAGATATCGAAGTGGGCACAATAATCGGGACTGTAATGGCAAGGGATCCAGACTCTGCTTCCAGCCCCATTAGGTAATTATGCCTGTGTTTGAGATGAAACAGAAGAAATTGAAATTCACATAGAGATTATGAAATTCTATTTGAAACATTTAATGCAATAAAATACTACAGGAGTTTTTCTGTAAGTTATACATAAATTTGGTGATCCCAGTGTTTAACGTAAATTGGCTTTAAATATCTAGGAGCAGGTGTGCACAAGGGTTATAGCTTATTCTTATCACATCCTATAGACTGAAGTCTGGCTTGAATCATCTGTTTGTCTCCTTAAAGTGTTTGTTGTTTTCTGGGGGAAAGGAGGTACTGAGGATTGTACTCAGAGGCACTCAACCACTGCCATATCCCCAGCCTATTTTGTATTTTATTTAGAGACAGGGTCTCAATGAGTTGCTTAGTAACTCACTTTTGCTGAAGCTGGCTTTGAACTCTTCCTGTGTCAGCCTCCCACTAGGATTACAAATGTACATCACTGTGCCTGGGCTCAAGAATACTTTTTTAGATGCACATTCACGATGCAACCAAGCCATGATATTTGTATGTGAGATAAATATAAACAGTTAAAAATAATATTATTGTGCTATAATTCAGTTTTGTCATAATTTTTACAAATTGTACTTATACTCTAGTCATCAAAGAAGGGAATTTTTGCATTGTTCTTGGTTTTTGGCTTTGTTGTTGTTGTTGTTTAGCTGTCTCAAAAAATGCAAGGACATTCCAGAAATATCAGTCACTCAACATTTTTCTTTATTGTGGCAATCAAAACACCTGAGATGTGATAGACACATAAAAATGAGAAAGACTCAAAGTTTGCATTGACATTTGCACTGATATAGCAAGGAAACACAGATATACCTAATATTCATCATCAAAGTGAACGCTTACTTTAATCTGTTAGTCCATCATGTGTTCTGGATTTCATTTGTTTCCTTAATTCTCAGCAGGTTGATTTTGCTTCCACATGAGCTAGTAAAGTATGAGTTTAAAGGTTTGCTGTACAATTTCTGTATGTACTTATAACTCATTCACCTGACTTTGGTCAGACTTACTTTGAAAATTCTATAAATTCTGCCAACTTTCAAGTGAAGTCATACTATATAGAGTGACAAATGTATGTATGGTTTTATTTAATTATATAATTATGCATAAATACTATTTCTTGGATTGATGTGCAGCATCACAGTTTACATGCCGCAGAAGAAAACTGTATATAATATTCACATATTACTCCCATCTGCCAGCAGGACTTCCCTATGAATATCATCCCTCCAGTCCACTTGTCTTCATCTAAGTGGCTGCATTCCCTGAATTTTTCTTTAGGCTTTAAAATAACTAATATACATGTTTAATTTTACCCCTTAAATACTTACCAAGCATTTTCTTGGCAGAAATTCTAACTAACATCAGTTGTCTCTGCTCTAGGTCCTTGATTTCAAAATGGTCCTTTTAAAAAATGATACATCAGAGTTTTGATGAGACAAAATTAAGTTGACTATTGTTAAGTACTGATATAAAGATATATCTCCACAAAGTGAAATATACATTCCATCCTCACATAGATTGATGGCTATTTTATACCAAAATCTATATGTAAATACTTAAAAACACAATAAATATAATGTTTAATGAAAACACAAATCAAAGGACTAGGAAGAGTCCATTCATGTATAGAATATACAATGCCAATAGGTGTGGCTTTATATTACCTTGTTGTAGAAAGTAGGAAGGCATACTTTTATATCTTCTTATTTTTGTGGAACAAGTGGATACAATGTATAAATGTGATATACTATGTAAATAATCAAGTAAATAGAAATATTGTGGATATATATGCACATATATGTAGTAAATTTATATATTCTACAGGTTCTGCATCTGCCAATTCAACCAAAATCAATGGAAAATTTTTGGAAAAATATTGTTTGTACTGAATGTATGAAGACATTTTTCTTGTCATTATTTCCTAAATAGTATAGCACAACAATTACTTGTGTAGGATATTGCATTTACCTTATATTAGGTATTATAAACAATCTAGAAATGATTTAAAGGAGAATGTGCATTGATTCTAATCCCCAGTGGATATAAAAGGACAATTTTATATATTCAAAGAAATAAAATAGCCTTGCAAGTTTAATGTATTTATGTATCATCCTGGACATGTTACAAATTATGTCATATATTCTTAATGCTAACGCAGTAATCAAAAAGTTTTACTGAAAACATGTATCTTGGAAATGATTTTAAAAGAAAAATGAAAGTTAATACATAATTTGGTGATTAAGAATCAGAAAATAAAATTATATTTTGAATAATATTTGAAAAAGAAGGGCTGTAGTTTCTCTGCATCTTCAAGATAATATCACATAATACTCTAAATCTTATTATTACTTTTTTAAACTGAACTGCAAAAAAACTAATTAAGAAAAACACAAAAACTGTGTTTGTGGCAAAATCATGGTACATGATAACAAAAGGTTTCCACTAATGAACATATTGCAACTTCACATCACATATCTATATAAATAAGGGAACTTTTAGTTGCCAAAATTCCTAATAATTCTGTCATTCTTTCTTACATTAGATAAATATTTGTAGATAACCATATGAGATATTAACATATTATTCAAGGAGTTTTCATTCTATTGGAGAAGAATATGAGAATCAAATAATACTCACTAACTGCCTACTCAAGTTACAGTAGTAGATATATTATGATAGTGGTCAGTAGGCACATTGTTTTCAAGTTTAAATTCCTGTTTTAGATTTGGAATGAAACAAATTTCAAATACAAGAAATAAGTGACAGATATAATTGTACAGTTACTTTCTATAGGAAGCAGTTAGATGCTTGAAATTCAGGTGATCAAGGAAGACTATAAGGAGGAGATAAATTTTATGTTGGGTCTTTCAGTAGTAAATTAATTTTGTAAATCTGGGTGGAATTTGGGGATTGTTCTAGATATAGGGATAAAATTATTTGCTTTATTTGTGAAGGCTAAAACATGTAGTATGACTTTTTAAAAATAGGATTTATCAAAATGACATCATTAAGATTGATAAACCTGGTATTAGGTTTCAGAATGATATACAATACAATACCAAAATAACCAATTGCTGCCTATTTTAATACAGATGTATGAAGATTTCTCATCTGGAATTGTACTATTTCAAAGTTATACACTTTATAATACATGTGGTTAGAAACTGAAGCTATGTATATATCATACCCTGAAGCTCCAAAACACCCAACAGGTTTGATGAACCTACTGTTATCTCCAATTTTGTCACTAAGGAAAATCTGAGCTTCTGGGATTGATCTGTTGCAATGGATTCCTGCAGTAATTCTCCACTACTAAATAAAGCAATGTAACCACATATAATGTATACTACGTTGTGGTCAAATATATCAATGTTAGTTCACATGAAAATAGACAATGATTTTAAGAGCAGAGATTTTAGAAGACTAGCATTTCAATGCAGAACCAAGTGCCAATTCATGCTTGGAGAGAGTGAGTGTTTTTCTGTGATTAACTCATGAAACTATGTTTTAGATCAGTACTGTGTTTCTTCCAATAATTATTAGTAATATGTGTGTCTTTGAATTTTACCATTTTCTCCTGTAACACTTCAATAACA